AAGAGGAACGGAATTGAGTCTTACCAGTTAGAAAATACCGGTAAATTTTTCGCTTTCTCTCGACATGAAGCCTGGCACTAGTAATCCAAACAAATGGTACAGAAAATTTCGGTTATTTCGGTAAAAACGGAAAAAAGGTAATACTTCGAAAGGTATTACTTTTTTTCCGGAAAATTTCCACCGGGATGAACCGTTCTATTTGAATTCTCTCCGGAATTTCCGGGTTTTCCATACAAATGGTAAGCGCTCCTTGTTTGAGTCACAAACCTTAATAAACTGTTTTTCACATGCAACTGATCAAACATGACAACTCCGTTCCATTCAAAGCCAAGGCACTCAGCACATAACGATATGGCCTGGACGCATTTGTTCAAAGGTTTAATAGCGCTATCCAGCGGATAAATCATTATCCAGTGGACAAGTATTAAGGGAAACCAATTGCGCTATCCAATATATGGCGATTTATCCTGTGGATAACGCTGTCCACCTTTCGTACAACTATGGCCTGTTGAGTTGGTTAAATGTGAATATAAAGAGATTTCTTTGTTTTATAGGACCAAAAGTAACAATCTGCATTAAAAGTGTGTGAAATCATATGTTATTTTTCTCAGTTTTGTGAATTGACGTTGATTAACCGGGGAATAATAATAGGGACTTAAGGTCTCGGTAAAGGAAAAAAATTCTAGTCGCCCGAGTATTTTCGCTACAAAGGCAAGTTATATATCAAATTAAAGATAAAAGACTAAATTGCCTTATAAAAGATTTTATTTCATCGAATTTCAAAAGACGCTTAAGTTTTTTGCTCTCGAACTCAGAGGTATCGAGTTTACTGCTGAAGCTCCAGCGCCTTCGCGTTGTTAAATGTTCACTTCCTTTTTATTGCATCTGATTGACAGATAAAATACCTAAAAAGGGTGTGAGGAATTTTCCGATTTCCCTTTGTAACTCATTTTATGCCAGTTTCTTTGCGTAAACCGCACTCGAGATTCGACTTTTTACTTTGAAATGCAATAATTCCGCTAATACAAGACATATGCAAATTTCCTCACACCCTTTTTTAACTCGTGGGTACGCGCGAGCGTACCACGAGTTATTGCAGGGACTGAGATATGCAAATGAGTCACTCACTCACTCGTAGTAGACGCACTTCGTAATTAATCGGGTCCGAACTCGAGAGCGCGAAGATCTATCTTTTCCAAAGAAGCACGCGCTCGCCGAAGTTCGGTAGCATCAAATTCCTCGGTGCGAGCGTGCATCGTGCGCTACAGCACGGTTAGGATAGAGGAGGGTCTC